AATTTTGAATAATAAATAAAGAAATAAAATGAACAACTTTGTATTTTCAAATTGAGAGCTTTATTCAATGGAAAATTCACTGATTCTATAAATGGCCATGTTCAGTATTATATTCGGTAATATAATATTACTAGCTATCATTATATAAATAATTCAAATATGTCCGAAATATATTTAAATTACATAGGCAACGAAACATGAACTTCACAACGAAATCTAAACTACATAAAGAAGTCTAAACTACACCAAATCTAAACTACAACGAAATCTAAACTATGCAATGAAATGTAAACTACACATGTAACGAAATACACATGTTCTGCCTTGCCCTCAGATTTGTTTGTTTATGAACTATTCTTTCCGAGATTTGCAGCCTGTAGGCAAAAAAAATATTGAATTAGTAAAGATACAAAGCAGGTGTCTTTTATAAGTAACAAACCAACTAAGCAATGAAATGTGAACTACACATGTAATGAAATACACATGTTCTACCTTGCCTTCAGATCTATTTGTTGACGAACTATTCTTCACGAGATTTGTAGCCTGTAGAAAAAAAAATATTGAATTAGTAACGGTACAAAGCAGGTGCCTCTTATAAGTAACAAACCAACTAAGCAATGAAATGACACATGTTCTGCCTTGCCCTCAGATCTATTTGTTGACGAACTATTCTTTACGAGATTTGCAACCTGTAGGCAAAAAAATATTGAATTAGTAAAAGTACAAAGCAGGTGCTTCTTATAAGTAATAAACCAACTAACCAAATATTCTTCGGTATTGGTAAATGTCATCAGCTAATGCTTTTTTGCCTTCTGATCCAAGATTATTATTATAAATATTCAAGGAAGTAAGAGTGGTATTCTTGCATAGTGCTTCAGTAGTGCTTTTCCTCTTTCTAATCCAAGATTATTACTATAAGACTAACATGGTGTTTTTACAAAGCGCACTAAAACTAGTTTTTGATAAAGTAGATCACTGAGGAATCGTGTTGTTAAGGAAGTGGAGCTGGAGAAATTGCGCCGTTAGGAAGGTGGAAGTTGTAAAGTCGATCAGAACTATATAGATTACAGAGGTTAGTATACTCCAAATTCAAACGAAGATTATAGCTAAACTAGAAAAGATTAAGAATCGAAGCTTTGTAATTTAATAGAACAACATTCGATCTACACTTTTGATTTAAAAAGCAATAGTCGAATTGTTTCACAAATTTGGGGTTGTCATATGAAAAACATTTCGCGGGGGGTAAAATTTCTATATAAAATTGAATTATTGACATCTAAATTATCATATGATCAACATTTGGAACCCCTGTAAAAGGACATGTCCTGTGACTGATATATAAAGTAGCGCCTGACTAAAATTAGGCCCCTGAAATTAGATCTTTATACATGCACTAAATCGTAATTCTAGCCCATGGCTACTTTAGATAGGGTGGCTACTTTAGATGCAACAATACCAGATAAAATTGATGAAAAAATAAATTGCAAAAATAGAATAATTAATATGATAGATCATGATAAAGATCTTAATCGTTGCTTGAGTAGTTTTTATTTTATTAAATGTTATTGAAAGTTTTGCAAATATGATACAAATAAGAATTATCAAACCGGCTTTCTCATTGACCAACTCATATTGAATATATTTGTATTATATTGATTCTTTCTAATAGATGATATCGCTATAATATAGTTTGTATTAGCGGTAGACAATATTCAAAGTTAACCTCATTAAAAATAAAAATTGTCCATTATTATTAATAACAGTCTTAATTCCATTAAATGAAGCGAAAGAATCATCTAAATCCAGCTATATTCAAGGTTGTCATAGAATTGTAGGCACGTATTGAATGAGATCAGTTAAAAATACTTGTACGTAGAGCAATAGTTCCACCAGCAATGAATGACACACATTCAAGGATGCAGTATCTGTATAAATATACATACCAAGGCGACGCTAACTATAAAAGTTAAATATTTTTAATTTATTAAAGCCTCAAATTATTTAAGCAATAAATCACCAAAATTTAATTTTACATCATCGTAAGCGCTGTATATACATTCTTCAAAAAGGTGGTGGTACTAAGGAACCTTTCTTTGTATTCTCTATATAATTCTAAAAGTATTTTAAATGAGTATTTTAGTTTATTATTCTCGCTCGGATTTCACAATTAGACACTTTCTTTATTAGACATTATGAAGATACATGTTGGGAGACGTGCAGAAGATCAATTTGAATTTACAGAGAGGAAAATAACGAAAAAGCCATCCTTGCCGAAGTAAGAAGCCAGGGAGATGTTTTAAACTTATTCTTCTGAAGTAAGAGGTCAGGAAGACATCCTAAGACCTATTCTTGCTAAAGAAACCAGAGAGACATCTCAAATCCTTTTTTTTTTTTACTGCCAGGGAGACTCTAAAATCTGATCTTTCTGCGTAGTCAGAATCAGCCTAAGATACCTCACCACCAGTTGAGGGTAGCCACCCACTGATACTCGTTATGTGAAGTGTTAGCCCTGCCTCCATTGCACCTGTTGCATCTCTATACGTATATTATAACCAAAATACTTACTCTCTAACTTACGGCATTTATCGCACCTGTTGTCATGAGCTTTCCAACTAATTCGGGAACAGCGAATCCTCATTTTCTCTCCTATTTTATTACTTTTTTTTTTTTTTTTGAATGTTCACACAGCCTTACATTGTCAAGTACTCTTCCACTATACTTGGGAATGCAGATTCTTATTTTTTCTCATTTTTCTTAATATTAAATATTCATATATCAGCCTCACTAGATAATACGAAAGTTTATCAGGTTACACTTCCTCTTCACAAGCTGGTTGGTCTTTTATTTATTTATTTTTTTTCAAGAAAGATTGCTCAAAGTTCATCCGCTAATTCGTTCCTTCTTCTGCTCCAAGCTTTCTTTTTATTCAAAGTAAGCACTAGAAAGATGAGTATACTGTACTTGCTAATGATTTTCTACTTTCTGGTCCAAGTTTATTGCCAATGTTTTTCTTTTTGCTTTTCATTTTTCATTACTTTATAGTCACGGAGCAAGATTACAAACAGGTCCTAAAACATACTTTTCATTACTCAGTATCAGATGAGTGTAGCAAGGCAAGATTCAGGTGAGAAAACAAAAGTGCGATCCACAGTATTGTACGATGCATTCTACATTATTTTTTTATTTTTTTATTTTTTGCCTTGTTTTGATTGGTCAAATTTTAAATCTGCAACTTGTGCAAGTAGATCAGTGGTGGCGAATGAAGATGGCGGTCACGTGAAGATCGGCAGAAAATTCTTGAGTGTGATTGGTTATTGTTTCGTATTACGCAGATTAATTGTACCAAATACGTTGTTAGTGTAAATTATCACCCTATCACATCCTCGAAGCCGGGCATATGGTTCATGTGCCAATTAGGATGATCGTGTCGCTCTATCTTGTTGATCTTGTCGCGCAACCTTAGATAGGCTATACTTTTCATAGTCACCTTGTAATTTAATAATAAGGGCGTGAAAACTCTACTGATAAGAGTTGAGCAGCGGTAGAATGAAAAAGTGTTGGGATTGAGTGTGGGATTTCATGTAGGTCCTGATAAGAAAAACATGTATTTATAGGCGTTGTATTTGCCCTCAATTGAATTTCCAGACTTCGATTTAAATGGATTCGATTTCTCCCTTTAGTAGTATTTAGATTTGTTTAAGTCTTTATTTATTTTTTTATTTCTTAGTTTATTTTCTTTGTCTGTTTTATTTATCAACTTATTTATTTACTTATCTTTTTGTTATACTCCGTTTCTGTTCCATATCTTTTTTCTTTATAAAATTATTTAATAAATACATATTTCCCATTGCATATATTTAAAGCCTTCTACGCATACCTTTAAAGCGCATTGCGCATACATCTAATCGTCTAACATATCCTTATATATCCCCACTCAAATTGTTAGTCCGCGCTATAATTGTCTCTAATCTATCTAACAATTACCATCCCGATTTGTATTATCATCCGTCCTTAAAGTGTACCTTGCATAAGTCTAATACTAGTTCCCACGTATTGTTAACTCCACTACATTCTCTTCCCGTTACTATCAAAGCTAATCAGGCTTTATTGCCGTTCACTCTCCCACTTGATAGTAACAACGTTTTACAAGCACAATTTACTCTTGTAGATTCGTACGTATGTATATACATAATACTGTTTGATCGAACGATATTAAGTTATATATAAAAGTAATCTTTACTAAGGTAGAGTTAATGACTGAATTTAATACTTTACCAAATACGTTTTACAAGCTACAATTCATATACAATTCACTATTGTAGATTTGTACATACATAATACTGTTTGATCGAATGATATTAAGTTATATATAAAAGTAATCTTTACTAAGGTGGAGTTAATGACTGAATTTAATAAGATTTTATATATTTTACTTTGTAAACTCAATTTTTACTTAAAATAAAAATTTGTAATTAGTTCAAATAGAATGCAAGTTTTGAATTACGTGGAGGCTCCAAGTTTTTTGTTGCGTTCTTGCTGTTAAAGCTTCTTGACAAGCTCTTGTTTCGGTTATTAAGGGCTGTTTTAATTTTCTATATACATTGTAAAAACTATCGTTTTGAATATTTGAAGAAATGATATTTAATAATAATTCAAATATTTTTTTGTCTTCTGCAAGTTCATCCTTTCTAGATTCAATTAATTATTACAAGTATCAAGACTTAGTTCTATATTATAATCATATTCATTTTCTAAACCTTTTAATTCATCTAGCGAATTTTCAAGGGCCTCAGTCCAAGGATTGTTAGTAGGGTTAAGGCTAGTATAGATTTTACCAAAGGAGATAAAAGGATAATCATTCTGGCGTTTTGTTGTAGCATATTGAGGAAATGAAGGATTTTTATTTGTATATTTTTTAACAAGATGCTTACACACCAAGTAAGTATTATTTACAAATGCAGGGCATGAACATACCCAATTGTTAATATTTGTTAAGTAATTGTCTTCATTACTAATTTCTTTATCTAATGCTTTTTTCCATTTGACTTTGAATGTATCTCACCAAGATGGTAAATCCCGCTTATGGTTATATCTTTGCCAGGTATTAATTTGGTCTAGAATTAATTCTCTTGTCAAAATCTGATCTAAACGGGGTCGATTATAGGTATATTTATAAGCGTATTTTATTACTTGCTAGTGCAATTCACAAGCATTGTAGTTCTTGCTAATAGAATCACATTTGAAAAGGAAGCCCGGGCAAAGATATTCCAATCATTTTTATTATACCAGTTCGACCACAAATAGCCCCATGTATGTATAAGATTTTCACTTTTGCAATAACTATAAATTTCTCTAACACTTTCACAATATATCTCTGCTGAGGTAAGAAAATTTTTTTTATTAATTGGTATGAACAGGTGCAATAATAAATGTTTATAAACCATATTTAAAATGTTATCTATGTTTTCTTTTGAACATAAGACGCCTTCATCATTTTCAGGAACCCAGGTAATATCAATAAAATTAAATTAGTTATTTGTCTCTTTTGCCTTTTGTGTTGTATATTGGCTGCATTTATTTTTTTTTTCTTTTAATTTTCTGCTTATTGCACGTTTAATATGCCATAGGCATAGCTGTATCTTTACTTTCTAATCCCAGGCTTCTTGCGCAGCTGCTATTTGACCTGCATCTTTGTCTATAAGAACAAAAGTTGGTAAAATACCCTCTCCTTTTAATGATAAAAAAAAATCACAAAGAACTTTTAATCGAGAATAAACTTTATTTTTAGGGTTTTTAAGAAAATTTTTTGGAACTGTAAAAGTATCAACGTATTGGTACAAAAGTGGAACCTCATATCCACCCAAATTTATTAATACAGAGAAAAGTTCAAATTTTGTTAGTTGGTTTTGTAGGTGGAATCAATAATTATTTCATTAATATCTGCTTTTTTTATAAAGTCATTAAAAGGGGTAAGAAATCCTAGAGCTCGAACAAAATCATTTTCTATATGTAGTAGAACTTTAAATCCTTCATTAATTAATTCTTGTTGTTTCAAAAAATT